TAAAAAAAATAATAATAAGTCATTTATATCTTAACATGTCTCCAAATCCTAGAATTGCCGCATCTCTGGTTTTGGTGAAGAACCCCATGGTTCTGCCAGTGGATAGTCTTCCTTGCTGAAACAAGATAATAACCCATCCTTTAAAACAAAGATGCCCCTCTACTGGTCCTTATCAAACACACTTCATCACTAGGATGTGTACAGCTGTGAAGGAGTCTCATTGGGCTGTGCCAGGAAAAAAGAAGCAGCTGCAACCATAGGAATCTTCATGGGACAGTCAGCTCAGCTGTCCTTGAGCGACCAGGCCCATGTTACCATAGCCCTGGTGGCTTCTTCCCCACGGGCACAGAGGCGCTGCATGTCACAGTGACTTTCCTATTTCAGAGCAATTTTACCTCCTTCTCTAACAAGGCCTCACAAAAGTACTGAGATCTAGAGAGGACAACAAGTATAAAACCACAATGCTATCGGTGGGTCCTGGGATTGGAACTGCTGTATAGGAAAAAATTCACTCTCTGATATGGGTGAGTTTTTAAATGTGAGTGTATTACTTTTATAACAACAATGCTAATCATAGGAGTCATTAAGAACGTATCAATCAGGAGTGATGCCACACATGAAAAAGATGGAAACCAGTCCCTTAATTCAAACTCTAAGCCCCAGTAAGCTTCTTCTCATAGTACCATGACATTTCCTTAAGAATATCTACTCAACAAATTGAGATGTGACAGCCTAATTCAGTATGCAAATCTAGATTAACTTGTATCCGGAAACATCAACAGCCATGAAGCCATAGTTGGAACAACTGGAGAAATGTGAAATATTGACAAGATAATAAATAATATTGAAGAATTATTTTCTTAAGATGTATAAATTGTATTGTGCTTGATGTGGGAATTTTCCCTCATATGTAAGAGATTCATGCTGAGATAATTACGGTGAAGTGTCATGATGTTTGCCTCTTACTTTCTTTTTTTTAACTTTAAGCAAATTTTTATTACACAAAGGTTGTCACATAATTGGGTGTTTCTCTACTATGTGCACAATTATTCTCACTCTGCACAGAAAGGCTGCTTAACTTCTCATCTGGTGGTGGCAAGCATTAAAATCCTGATTTGAACAGTAGTAAAAATGGCTCAGTGATTTAAGTTGAAAGCCGTGCATTGGTACATGGCTCTTGTACCCAGTATCAGGAATGTACAACATCTTTTCATCTAAAAAAGAAAATAAATTATCCGTAGGCATGGATAATGATAGCTGTAAACCATGATAGATTTTGTCAGCTGAAACAAGTAGCCGATGGTTATAGTGGTTTCTTAAACATCAGCCAGCCTTTTCTTCATTTTCTCCAACTGACTTCTCTGAAGTTATTGGTGAGGAACACTGCCTTGGGCTTCCTGTCACAATTCATTAATAAAGGTAAAGCACTATTCTAGGAATTAGAACAGGTCACCTCCCATATCACCTCCCATTCCACACATTGCACCCATTCCAGGGCCATTCCTTTCTTTAGGAATTTCTGTGACTACAACATCTGCTGTAGTTAACAGAGAGGCCATGCCAGCAGCATCCAATAAAGCAGTTCGCACAACCTTTGTTGGGTCAATAATGCCTTTTCCCACTATATTCACAAAATCTCCCAACATAGTATCATAACCAACTTTTGAGGAACTTTGCATAATTTTCTCAACTATCAAAGATCCTTCAACATCTGCATTCTTAGCAATGGTCATTGCTGAAATTTGGAATGATTTTTTAATAATTTCTATACCAATTTTTTGATCTTCGTTAGCTGGAGTCAATGAGTCCAGGCTGGAATGCACCAAAGCAGGGCACAACCCCCTCCCTAAACAACGTCTTCAATGGCAGCTCTTGTAGCATCAAGGCACCTGTAACTCTGTCTTTTCATTCACTTCAACATCACTTGTCCCACCAACCTTCCGCACAGCTACTCCATCTGAAAGTTTCTCCAGCTGTTCATTCAGTTTTTCCTTTTCGTATTCACTAGTGGTGACATGTGACTGGTCAATGATTTCTTGAATACATTTTTCAACTGGAGCCTTGTTACCTTTTTCTTTTAAGAGCATGGCATCGTCTTTGATCACAGTGACCTCTCCAACTTCTCCTAAGTCATGAGGCTGAACATCTTCAAGATTTAGTGTCAGTCCCCTTCTCCAAGCACTGCACCACCAGCAGCAATATCTTTAAGCTGATTCTTTCTATTGTCACCAAACCCTGGAGCTTTGACTGCCACAACCTGAAGATCAACCTTTAGCCTATTGGAGACAAGTGTACTTAGAGCTTCTCCATCAATGTCTTCAGCAATTATGACCAAAGATTTACGGTGAGCACTGGCAATTTCAAGAGCAGGTACAATGGACTGGACACCAGAAATTTTCTTTTCACGCAACAGAACATAGGCATCTTGGAATTCACATTTCAGACCTTTTGATGTATTCATAAAGTATGGAGAAATATATCCTCTGTCAAATTTTCATGCCTTCAATAATTTCTCATTCATCGGTCAATGTTTTTCCAAACTTTTCTGTGATGACACCCTTTCTTCTAACCTTTTTCATTGCATCAGAGATGATGTTACCAATTTGTCTGCGTTTGCAGAAATTGTAGCAACCTGCACAATTTTCAGGTTTGGTCACAGGTTTAGACTGCTTTTTAAGTTCAGCGAATACAACATCAACAGCTAACGTCACACCTCTTTTGATTTGCACTGGAATTAGCACCTTTGCTAACCTTCTGGAAGCCTTACTTGGAAAGAGAGGGTACCAGTGCAGTAACAGTGGGAGTGCCGTCCCCAGTCTCTTCATTTATGTTATTGGCAACATCTTGGACAAGTTTAGCTCCAGTGTTTTTATATTTATCCTTTAAGTCAATTGACTTTGCATCAGTCACACCATCTTTTGTTACTTTGGGACTTCCCCAGCTCTGTTCAGTAATCACTGTTCTTCCCTTTGGCCCCATTATAAGGCTACAGCATCGGCTAAAAGGCCTACACCTTGAAGCATTAAGGCTCGGACATTGGCACCAAATTGTACATCTTTGGCATCAGTCCGAGTGAGATGAGGAGCCAGTACCCTGGACACCGGTTTCATCTGGCAAAAGACTGTGGGTCATTGAAGCATATCTCTGGGGCGGTGGCAGGACATGCGCATGGCGAGGCAGGTCATCAGCAGCGAGTGAGGGCTGCCCCTTACTTTCTAAAGGTGACATGCAAATATACCAAAAAAAAGAAAAGGCCATAAATTATTAATTTAGGCAGAGCACATAAAGGCTTTATTTCCTATTCCGTTTCTCTGTATGCTTTCTTCACCAGGAAGAAATAGTTTTAGTGTCAGGAATGAATGAGTCTGCCCCTCAATTCCAGCCTGCTCAACACCCAGGGAGACAAACTCCTGACAATCCGAGTGACTCCCTGGTGACTGAGCTCCAGCCCTGGATGCATATTTGTTTAGCAGTTCTGACAGCACCTGACCCAGCCCTCTCTTTGCATAGCCCATCAGAACCTTCTTTTTTTTTTTGCTTTGAGACTGAGTCTTGCTCTGTCATAAGCGATTCCCGTGCCTCAACTTCCCAAATACCTGGAATTATAGGCATAAGTCACCACGCCTGGCTAATTTTTGTATTTTTCATAGAGACGGGGTTTTGTCATGTTGGTCAAACTGGTCTCATACTCCTGACCTCACGTGATCCACCTGCCTCGGCCTCCCAAAGAGCCACCATACTAGGTCCAGAAACTTCCTTTTATAAAAATGTCATTAAGTATCTTGGCCACACAATATCATTACCAACTTCCTTTAAATCCACCTCTGGCCTGACAGGAATCAGGGTTCCTCAGAACCTGACATTTTAAAGGAAGAGACCAGGCAGGCCATGAGTAAAGGCTCATCGTCCCCATGGCTCTGTCACAGCTGCACTGCCGAGACATCACAGACACGGACACTGGGGCCTGCTTGTTTCTCAAACTGCCCTTAGATCCAAAGAGGGAGGAACTAGGATGAAGGTCACTCATTTTCCCAAGAAACATCCTCTCCTGAGGGCCTGGCACAGGGCTCTGTCCACTGCCTGTGGCCGCCGATTGCTCCTCTGGGTTACGGAGAAAGGACAGGGTCCTGAGAGACCTTAGAGACTTCACACAGCCCTGAAAACATCGGGCTCCTTCAAAAGTGTGTCCCATCACCAACAAGGAGACTATGTGGAGGCCTTGCACCCCCACTCCATGCCGCTCCACCAAATCCCAGCAACAGTGAGCTCCCTTCACGCTGACGTCTGTAGAAAGCAGAGAAAGCCTGGCTCCCAGAGCCCTGAAGTCCTGTGGAGCTGACCTTCCCTGAGTGATGGCGTGAGCCTAAGGAATTCAACTGTGGGCCAAAGGCCACCTCCTGGCCTGGGCCTAGGTGGACTCTGAGGGGACACATGTAGTCACAATCCCACCCTCCCATTCTCCTTCTCGGAGGAAGGAAGCGGGCACCCATCTGCCTCATCTCTGTCCCGGGGGGTAGATGGGGAGTTTCAGGGGAGCTTTCACATGAATTTCACTAGCTCGGATCACCTGGGAGGACGGGGCCCACCATGCTCCTGGTGCCGCCAGAAGCCCTGAGCCCCTCCAGGGTCCTTGAGTTTGAGCCAGCCCTGTATCAGCCCCAGGAGCTAAATGTTCTAGCAGTGGGTAGAATTACATGGAAAGACCTCTCAATTTGGCCTGAGACTGCCCACAAACACTCAGGAAAAGCAGGGCATCTCACAGAGTGGGCAGCAGGTGAGTGGCAGGTTACAAACTCTGAGTCTGAGTTTGTTCCCTTGTGAGACAGGTCCAGTCCCTCATTCTACTCATACACTGGATTTTAAGAGGTGCAAGATAAGAGGAATTTTCTGGTCCCAAAGCAGGAGGATAGGATTTTCTGGGGTTTCCCGAGTCCAAATTTGCATAAGATCTCCTGCGTGTGCATTGTTCTTTGAGGACCATTCTCTGACTCACCAGGTAAGTGGCTGAATTCTAATCCCTGTAATGAGCATTGCAGCCAATACCAGTTCTGAACTCTACCCGGTGACCACGGGCCAGGACCTTTATAAGGTGGAAGGCTCGGTGTCTTCCCCAGACTCAGCTCCTGGTGAAGCTCCCAGCCATCAGCCATGAAGGTCCTGTATCTCCTCTTCTCGTTCCTCTTCATATTCCTGATGCCTCTTCCAGGTGAGATGGGCCAGGGAAATGGGAGGTTGGAAAAATGGAAGAATGGGATACAGGCTCTCTGTCTCCTCTCATTCCCCTCCACCTATCTCTCCCTCATCCCTCTCTCTCCTGCCTCTCTCTCTCTCTCTGTCCCCTCAGTCCTTCTCTCCTGCTTCTCTCTCTTCTTCCCTCTCTCTCATTCTTTTATCTCTCTTTCTTTCTCCCTGTCTCCCCAGAGCATGACCTTCTTTCTCTGTCTTTCGTTTCTTCTACCCACGTTTTTAGACTGAGTAGACTGAATGCCCTACTTAATTGAACCAAGCATTGCTTCCTTCAATAGAAAAGGAGCTTGAGAACCCGATGGACACCTCACTCTCTCTTCTAAGCCAATATGAAGGAGCCCAGTAGCTTGTAAATCTCATCTCCTCACTGCTTTCCACATTATGACTGCTAAGACTGTGGTTGAAACCTGTTAGGTGACTTTTTAAATAAAAGTCGGAAATTTAATTTTATCTAAAGAAAGTAGTCCACAATGTCATTTTCTAAATTTTTATATTGAAAGGGTAAATACTGCAACCTAGAGAGTTCCAGATAATCTTAAGGCCCAGCCTATACTGTAGGAGCTACTGCTGCAGACACTCTGCCCCTAGGACTTTTCCGATCAGAGGCCCTGAGAACAGTCCCTGCCACGAGGCCACCGCAGGTTCACAGTCCAGAGATGGCCCATGGAAAGCAACTTTTAACCGGGACGCCTAAGCTTCATTTTCTCCTTGATATTATGGAAATAAAATAAAAACCATGAAAGGATAAAAGAGGGAGAGTGGAAGGGAAGGATGGAGAGAGGGAAAAAGAAAATTTGAGACCGAAACTCAAAACAATTAATCACATAGATATTATATTGTGAAAGCGTCATGTTACCAATTTTATTTATGAGTTCTGGGTTTTTTGAGAAGAACGGGGCTCTGAGAGGCACCAGAGACCTCATATTTTCCAACACCTAGAACAGTATCATGAAGGAAGGCAGGGAGGCAGGGAGGGAGGGAGGGAGGGAGGGAGGGAAGCAGAGACGGACGGAGTCAGGGAGGGAGAGAGGCAGGGAGGCAGGCAGGGAGCAAAGGAGGGAGGGAGGCAGGGAGGGAGGGACAGAAGCAGGGAGGCAGGGAGGGAGGGAGAGAGGCAGGGAGGGATAAAAAAAGAAGAATGAGGTGAAACCAGGACTTAGATATTAGAAACAAGCAATTACAAAAGTTTATTTCTATGGTTAATTGTGGTTTTCGACTGTAAGTTATGTGGTGTTAATTTCACATTGAACAATTTCTGTGAGTTGCATCTTTTTATCCCATCTCAGATCAAATACTTAACAGACTAAATGATTTGAAAAGCAAAAAGTTACTGGCTTGTGTGTTAAAACGGAGGTAGGGTGGCTTTGATCTTATCTACTTGTGGTGGGGCTGAAGTCACAAGAGAACATTACCGAGCTCCTACCAGACCCCACCTGGAGAACCCGGTCACTCAGGAGAGATCAGGGTCTTTCACAATCAGATTCGACAAAAACTAACATCCCCCAAACCACAGCAATACCAGTTTCCATGTCAGAAACTTCGATCCAAATGATTGACTCGCGTCTCATGGAAAAGCCCTGGCTTCAGAAAGAAGTCCACTGCAGATCTATTCAAGGCAATACAGACACAGCGTTTGTGTTTTTGCAACATGAGTTTTGAGTTCTAACACGCTGTTTGCTCTTTTTGTGTTTTTCCTGTTAGGTGTTTTTGGTGATATAAGGAATCCTTTTACCTGCGTTAGGAGCGGTGCCATATGTCATCCAGGCTTTTGCCCTAGAAGGTATAAACATATCGGCGTCTGTGGTGTCCCTCTAATAAAATGCTGCAAAAAGCCATGAGGAGGCCAAGAAGCTGCTGTAACTGATGTGAATTCAGAAAGGGCTCCCTCATCAGAGATGTGCGACATGTAAACAAAATTAAACTGTGGTGTTCAGATTTACAGAATCTTGATCCTAGTCATTGCGGTTATGGTGTGGTGCTAGTTTGGGCAGGCCAATCTCTAACGTCCTTGGAACACCCTTTTCTGCTCTCCAGGCAGGGGTCAAGGATGCCACAGTGGGGCTTGGAGTGCTTTCCAGAGTCACAGGCATCTGTATTATTTGGATCCCTTGACCTTCTCCAGTTATTCCCGACATTTTTGTAGAACGTGTGCTTTGCTCCTCCTGCACCCTCCCCTTGTATGCCTACCCCACGTCTTCCCTAAAAAAAGCAAGCCCAATTCAAAGACCACTTTCCTAATGGAATCATAGCGGATCTGCCAAGGGAGGGGATGCCCAGTCCTCTGTTCTTCACAAGGACTCCCTTCTTCTGGTTAAGGTTTCCTATGCAATTACGCCTCCTACAGAGGTGCGTGAATTTTTAATTCTCCATTTAGCTATGAGAGTTCTACTGGTGTGGACTTTGTCTTATTCATTTATGTGCTGGTCATTCATAAGCTATTTCATAACTTGGATGGCAAAATGCAGTTGTACAAGGGTGTCCTTACATACAAACACAATAGGATCCAAGTAAATGCTCTTAAAAATAAGTCTTTTGGAGGGCACAATTAAGTGAGGACAATATAGCATGGGACACAAGCAGAGGGGAGCAAACCTCAAGAAGAAAGATGCATCAACTTTAAGGGGAAGCATCAGGATGGCTCCCTGGCCCCGCTCTCTCTCCTTGGGAGGGTTTGCTCCTTCAATCATGAACTCTGTGGGTGTATCCTACATGCAGAAGAAGCTCTCTATTTCTTCACGTTAACTCTGCACTAAATGTGCATATCATCAACCTTAGGGAAAATGCACCTTTCTTCCAAAATAATCCATTGTCTTTCCTAATCTCAAGATTGAAAAAAGTAACCAGACCTTGTTAGAGTAAAAGCATTTTTATCTGGATGCAGATTTTATCCAGATGCAATGACAGAGCCAGGACTAGGGTGTATTGAGGGAGGCTCTGGCCTCAGATATAAAATGCAAGCATTAATATATTCCATACTTAAGATAGATGATCGTATAATGTGATAGATTTTTTAAAAAATAACATTCATGAAAAATCACCATAATCAAGAAAATGTCCAAAATTTAAATCAAGACGGGGTCTAATCCTGTAATTGTCCAACTCAGTCACACTCACCTACCTTGATGCCAGGACAGTCAGACCCTGCCTTTATTTAGTCATTTAATATTCACCATACATATATTGTTATTTTGAATAAATTAGTGGATTTCCTGGTTCCCGGAAGCATATATCATTTGATTGTATAAAAGAAGTGGAACTTCACAGGAAAAGAAAAATTAAAATGTCACCATGACAATGGCATTCATTCCTATGTTCTAGGGGAAGCAGCAAAACTCTCTTAGGAAGAAACTCTCCTTTCATTTGAGAAGACCCTTTAATGGCCATTTGGGTCTTGAAAGATAGGACAGGGAGGAAGACTCACAAGGAGACCAGCATCCTGTGGCATTGAGAAGACCGAGGTCAAAGCTCACACAACACAATACTCCTTGTGTTAGTCTGTGTGTGTTGCTCTAAAGGAATACTTGAGGTGGAATAATACGTCAGGAAAGGAAGTTATTTGGCTCACTATTCTGCAGGCTGTGTGAGAAGCATGATACCTGCATCTGGCCCTCATTAGGCCTCAATAAGCCTTCAGTCCTAGTGGAAAGTGAAGTGGGAGCAGTAATATCACCTGGTGAGAGCAGAGCGAGAGGGTGAAAGGAGGTCCCAGATTCTTTTAAACAACTGCATGTTGTATGAAGTCGGAGCAAGAACTCACTCATTATTGGGATGAAAGCACTTAGTCATTCATCAGGGATTCACCCCACAACTCAAACACTCCCCACCAGATTCCACTTCCAGCATTGAGGATTAGATTTCAGCATGAGGTTTCGAGGGGACAAACATCTGAAAAATATTATTCTTCCCCTGGACCCTCAAATCTCATGTCCTTCTTACATTGCAAAATACAATCATCCCTTCCCAATCACTCCCAAAAGTCTTAATTCCTTCCAGCATTAACTGAATCAAAAGTCCAAAGTCCAAAGTCTCATCCCCTGAGACTCAAGTTCCTTCCACCTTTTAGCCTGTACTATCAAAAACAAGTTATTTCCTTTGAAGTTACAATGATGGTTCAGGCATTGACTACACACCACCATTCCAAAAGGCAGAAACTGGACAATAAAAGGGATTACAGGCCCCACACATGTCAGAAACTCAGCAGGGAAGCCGTTAAACCCCAAAGCTCCAAAACAATTCTTGGTTCCATGTACACTATTCTGGTGTGAGGGAGGGCTCTGAAGACCTTGGGCAGCTCTGCCCCTGTGGCTTTCCAGGGTGCAGCCCACATGGCTCCTGTCACAGGTCAGAATCTGATGCCTGTGGCTCTTCCATGCTGAGGGTACAAGCTGTCAATGGTACTCCTATTCTCAGGTCTGGACGGCAGTGTTCCCCTTCTCTCAGCTCCACTAGGCAATGCCCCACTGGGGATACTGTGTGGGAAATCCAACCCCACATTTCCCCTTAGCACTGCGCTAGTAGAGTTTTTCTGTTGGTATTCTCCCTCTGCAGCAGTTTTCTGCCTGGAGAACCAGGCTTGGCCACACATCCTCTGAAATGTAGGTGGAAGCTGCCAAGCCTCTTTCCTTTTTGCACTCTGCATACTTGCAGGCTTAACACCACATGAAAGCTGCCAACACGTTGTGGTTTTCACCCACTGAAGCAGTGGCCAATTTGTACTTTAGGCCCTTTGAGCTGAGGCTGGAGCCTGGGCAGCCAGGATGTGGGAACAGTGTCTTGAGGCTGAGTAGGGCAGCTGTGCCCTGGGTGTGGTCACTGAACCATTCTTTCCTCCTAGGCCTGTGGGCTGTAGTAGGAGGGAATGCCTCAAAGTTTTCAAAAATGCCTTATAAGCCTTTTCCCCCATTGTCTTGGCCATTAGCACATGGCTCCTTCTCAGTCATGGAATCTCTCTAGCAAGTGATTCTCCACAGCCCACTTACATTCCTCTTCTCAACATGACTTTTCTTTCTCTACTAAATTCCTAGGCTGTAAATTTTCCAAACTTTTATGCTTTGCTTCCCCTTTAAATATAAGTTCCATATTTAAATCATTTCTTTGCTGCTGTATCTCACTGTAAGCTTGTAGAAGCAGCCACATATCTTGAATACTTTACTCCTTGGCAATTACTTAGATCACACGCTCTAGGTAATCACTCTAAAGTTCAACTTTGCACAAATCCCTAGGATGTAGACACAATGCGGCCAAGCTCTTTACTAGGGTGTAACACTGGTGACCCTTGTTCCATTTCCCAATAACTTCCACTTTTCCATCTTACACCTTGGTAGCCTGGACTTCACTGTCCATATCTCTATGAGCATTGTGGTCACATACATTTAACAAGTTTCTAAAGAGTTCCAAACTTTCCCTCATCTTCCTATCTTTTGCTGGGCTCTGCAAACTCTTTCAGCCTCTGCCAGTACCCAGTGACAAAGCCACTTTTACATTTTCAACTGTCTTTACAGCAATACCCCCTAAACAGTACCAATTTTCTGTGTCAGTTTGTTTATACTGCTATAAAGGAATACCTAATGCTGGGTAGTTCATAAGGAAAAGAAGTTTATTTTGGTTCCCTATTGTGTAGGCTGTATGAGTAGTGTGGTGCCAGCATCTGCTCCTTTTGAGGCCTCAGAAAGCTTCCATTTGTGTAGGAAAGGGAAGGGGGAACAGGAGTATCACAAGTCAGGAGAAGGAGCCAGAGTTGGGGAGGTGCCACACTGTGTTAAACAACCAGATCTCCCATGACTCAAAGAAGGAACTCACTGATTATCTCTGGGACAGCACCAAGCCATTCATGAGGGATCCACCCCAATGACCCAGACACCTCCTGCCAGGTCCCACCTCCAAGACTGGGGATTACATTTCAACATAGTATTTGGAGAGTACAAACACCCAACCTGTACCAGATCCCAATTTCCAGTGCACATATCAGAGAGTGGGCCAGTGAAGGAAGCATTGATCTTGAGTGTTGGAGAAAATAAGAGTGCTTTCACTTTTGGGCTATGTTATGATGTGTGCACACTTGGGCTAAGACTTCCCCAGGCCAGAAGAAAGCAAAGACTCTGTAAGGGAGTGAGTGGCAATTTCAGGAGGACAGACAAGTCTTGAAAAGTCTTCATCCCCACAGTGAAGTGGAGAGAACTCAGAGTCCTCAGAAAGCCATCAGCAAGTAGTGGTGCCAGTCAGCTCTAGATTAAACTGTTCTGCAACTACTGCTCCAAGACATTTTCAAGCCATTCCTGAAAAAACCAAACGAACATATAGAACCCCAAAAATGAACCAGATAATGTCTAGCATTCTTTCAGAAAAAAAAAAACACACAACAACCAAAATTGTTCATCAACAATTTAAGCTGGGCAGTCATGGTGGTTCATGCCTATAATCTCAGCACTTTGGGCGGCCAAGACAGGTGAATCACTTGAGGACAGGAGATCGAAACCAGTCCACCTATGTGTACGAAATGCCAACCTATGTGTACGAAAACTACAAAAATTAGCTGGACATGGTGGCACAGGCCTGTAGTCCCAGCTACTCAGGAGGCTGAGATAAGAGAATTGCTTAAACTAGGGAGGCAGAGGTTCTGTGACCTGAGATTGCACCATGCACTCCAGCCTGGGCAACAGAGCAAGACCCTGTTTCCAAATTAAAAAAAAATATAATAGGCATTATTATATACTGAATCCAATCAAAAATTTCCAAACATGAGAAGAAGTAGGAAAATATGGTCCATAACTAGGAGAAAAGTCATTCAGTAAAAACAGACCCAATAATGACAAAGGTACTGGGATTAGAAAAAGGAATGTAAAGGAGCTATTATAAAAGTTATAAATATGTCAAGGGCTGAAGAGTAAACCTTTTTGATGAGGAGGAACACATGTAAAGAGAACAATGGACCTTCCAGCAA